TGAATCTGTATGTAAGTCAGAACTGGCGGTCAGTTTCAGCAGCAGCTGAATCTGGACGCCAGTTCCGACTTACATACAGATTCAACTTAAGAACAAACCTACAGTCCCTATCTTGTACGTAACCCGGGGACTGCCTGTAATGGATTTAATGTACAGCAAAGGAGATTTAGGTTAGACATTAGGAAAACTTTTTAACTATAGGGGTAATCAAGCTCTTGAACAAGCTTCCAAGAGAGACTGTGGAATCCCCATGAGCGGAGGCTTTTAAAAACAAGTTGGACAAATGTCTGTCAGGGATGGTCTAAGTTAATGGTTATTAACCTTTTTGGGCTCAGGACTTGTTTGTAAATGTTTATGGTCTGCCACAACCCAGTAAAGAGAGGCTCTTGATGATTTTGGTCAGCTAAGTCCTGGCCCCTGAGGGAGGAAGAGGGTTCAGTCCTGACGTTCCTGTGCTAGAAGGCTAGTTGCGCTCAGCTTGGCTTTCTGTTCTGGGCATTGAAACCTCAGACCCTGATCATGTCCAGCCCCTCTGACTGGACCAAACTTGTGCGAGTGGAGTTGTACTTCTACGTTTACTTGCCAAATAAACGTAGGGTAGCTAGTTTTCAACCAAACACCTGAGCAAACTGTCAGAACCCTATGATTCTGCCATAATTCAGGGGACAGGACTTTCTGAGTCCATCCCCTCCCCCCCAATCGACATTACTGTGATTCAATAATCGCTGGCACTGTTTCCATCTAAGTCTTTTGACTGTAAAATTTACTTGTGTACAGAACAACCATCTACTACTGCATTAATAGCTCTTTATTATTTATAATAATCATTTGTGTTACTGTGGTACCCAAGCACCGAATCATACACCAGGATTCTAATATAAAAAGTGCGGTACAAATACAGAATAAAGGACCATCTCTGACCAAAGAAACTTACAATTAAACTACAAGGCAGTTCTAGCAAAGCTTTCCTCTTAACCATCGGCCACTTTATCAGTCATAAAACTAGTTATATAGTACTAGGTATCAGGATCCGTCACACAAATGAACAGCTCTCTCAGCAGTTACTGTAGCATGCACAGTAGTTAATGAACGTTACATCAAACATGTACATTAATGAATACATATGCATAAGTTTCTAAAAATACTCAGTCTTCTTGTCTTATGCAAATAAATGTCTAATTTAACATATGCACAAATGTCAGCCAGAGAAATAGAAATTAAAAATAACTATAGCAGAGGTTTTCAAACTAAACAATTTTCATAGCTAGATGGCTGGTCCCATGACACAGGCTCTTAATTTCTACCTACTAAATTTAACCAAAAGACAGTTAAATACATTAAGTACTTTCCTATTACTTTTGCATGTAAACAGTCACAGCAGTTACCACAGATAAGCAGCAAAATGGGATGATGGGAAAAAAATGAATGGATCTCTGCATTTTAAATTGTGTGTTATTTTATGTAATCTCTCTCTCTCTCAGCCCTAATCCATCAACTACCTGAACTCTGGCCCCAACACACTATCGTGAAGTTATTGTTTAGAGCCTGAACAGCTCTATAGCTGAGCAGGGCCAAAGGCGCTCCAAAGAGGAGATGCTGAAGTGACAGATCTGGATGGCTGAATCTACTGTGCTACCAAATACTTGATTCAGGAGAGGAGAAGGAAAGATTATAAATTGCTACTTCAGGAAAATGAAGAAAAATTCAAGTTATTAAACAAAATGTTTGGGAGAAACCACAGACCTGCTCTTCAGCTGGAGGCAGAAAAGCTACTGGCCTGAATGGAAGGGTAGGGTTTAGTCCTAGAGACTCCAAAAACCCTAGAATCTGGAGGCAGTCCATAGGTGGGAGTATTAACCCACCTTCAGTGATGAAAGAGGAGAGAACATATCCACAGCATGACTTTGCTTTATGTTTCCTCCCTTCCCCTGATTCTTTGATTTTCTGTCTAGAACGTAAGCTCTGAAGTCAAACCCCATCCTACAGTCCCACAAACAAGAGCTCACAAATCCATTCTTATCAGAGACACAGGCCAATTCTGAATTTTTACAACCATACAGTTATTCCCCTTATTCAAGATAACGGTTTTGTATCTGTTCAAGGTAACCTAGTGGCTCTGTGAAGACACACTGGTGCAGACATTCCTTGTCTACTACGGTGCCTGCCTCCCAATTTATGGGGAGCAAAGTGTTTTTGCCTCAAGGCATTAGTGCTAGGAAGGCAGGCAAGTAGTTCTGCGAGTACCCCCCGCCCCACACACACCTGAGTTGCTCAGGCAGCCACAGACCCTCCGTCCTTTGCCTCTCAACCTCTCTCTCTCTCTCAAGCCCACTTCAGCAAAAAACTCTTCTCCCTCCCCCACAGTGCTCCATTCCCAGTTTCCCCTTTTCTTTCTGCCCTATCCCCCAGACATGGCCACGGGCCCCCACTGCCTGCCCTCCCAAGGATGTAAATCAACGTGTTGCCCCATATCCCTCACAACATGTTCTTCCCTTCAGCCAATTATGAGTCCTTCACAGAAACAGGCACTGAAGAAATAAAATACAGGCCACTTCCTCATTACATTACTCAATAACACTACCAGATATGTTACAAACAATGTCCCCAAAAGATCAACAAACTAAAACGACTGCTACTTAAAAATCCACCATCCAACCAATACAAAACCCCTCAAGTATGCACACATATTACTACCACATAAATTCATGGATTTTAAGGGCAGAAGGGCCCACCTTGTTAATCATATCTGACATCTGGAATAAAACACAGGCCAAAGAATTTCACCTAGTCACTCCTGAATGTTAACAGGTTGAACTATAGCACATCTTTTAGAAAGCCATCTATTCTTGATACAAAGATTCCAAATTAGTACAGCACCAATTTAACATGTTAAACAACTAGTCATCATGGCTGGAGTTAAATTCTGCACATTTTGTGTGGAAGGAAAAGTCATCTGTGGTATGGATGAGAATGTAAAGGATGCAAATTTGTAGTTGTAGGTTGCAATGGGGATGGGAGAACTTAAATAGCAACATCCAGTCTTTCTTACAGTTGGCTTGCTGGTATATGCACTTATGTAACTGTAAACACTTAACATAATCTTTGTTTGACATAATATAAATTAATAAATTGATGCAATTCTCAAAACACAGAGCACTTCAGAAAGAGAAGATTCAATTCAACTCCATCAGTAACCTACTGTTTTATAACTGGCCTTAATTCACTCCAGCAGAGACCTTCCCAGACTAAAAACTAAGTCTGACAATGCTCCAAACAGGCTCATACAATACAATGGTAAAATGCTGTTGCCCTGGCTCCACCATTGCTTTGACTGATGATTGCCCAAGTGCAGTGTAGGAGTGGTAGCTAGCAAAATCACTGGCACAGACAAGGCCTACGACTCTCTAGTACCATTTCTGAGTGTTTGATTTCCAACTGGGAATTCTATAGTTGGTGAATACTTTCTTCTAAGCCTTGGCACACATCAACAATCTGCAAAACACACTCACCGATAAGCAAGTCAATCTGAACCCAGTCCTCAAAACCTACCACTGAAAAGCAACGTAATGCCTATCCAAAAGTGAAGGCATTTCAAAATCAACAACTTTTGAAAGTCTTTTTTTTTACCCCCTCATTAAGGCACCACAACAGGGTACCAGCAATGTTATATTTTGTGGATCCAGTCTAACACACTATCATATTGTAATAAATTTAAGACTTTTGCTAAGGACCCATCATTCTCAGTCAGTAACTGGTGGTAGACTCAGAAAGTGGATTATCACATTAGGTGGTAGACTCACAGAAAACATATTCTATTCACTGTGTTTAAATTTAGCATCCCCTTGCTTCATTAAAGGGAACTGTAATTTAAGTTTCAAAATTTAATCTACGACTACACCCACACTATCCACGTTGTCTTTTCAGAAGAGGCGGGAAGCATTTGGCACACCACTAGTTATGTACTAATTTTAATTGCGAGTCACTATATAAAAAGATTGTGAAACAAACTTTCAAAGTTGTCAGATTTTTTAAGTGTTTACTTTTTTTGTTTTTCATATATAATTTCCTTGACACATTTGCTAATTATTGTAGAGACTTAACATTAAAATCAGGGGCTTAGGTAAGATTTTACAAAAGGGTATAAACATACTAAAATTGAATGCCATGTCAAAAACTCAAACAGATTCTCATGTCATAACTCCAAGTTTAGGACTTCACTGCAGATTAGCAAGAAGGACATGGACCAAAATAGGAAGTGGAATCAAATAATTGTTATATATTATTTATGATATAAGAGTGTTTATACATAGCATAAGTCAAGATATAACAAAATAGACCATCTCCAGAAACTTCAGTTGAAAAGTTGGAAAACAAAGAAATAAAAGCAAGCTGCTTTTATTTTGTATCACTAAAAAAAATGAATAAAAATAAAAATCCTCTGTATGAAGAAAATTTACCAAAAAGGTTACAGACCTAATAAATCAGTAAATCAAGATCAGAGAGCACCTCTATCTCCACAACTGATAATTTACGGTTCAAACACCACATTATGTAAAAATCCTGTCAAAGAATTAAATCAAAGGCAACCACGTTGTTCTCTATTAACCTGTTTAATCTACCTGGCCATGGCGCATTTATCATGTATTGTAAGTATACCTAACACTGGATGGAAACAGAAATCAGCAGGTACCGTATTAACATTTCAAATATCATGCTCTGTCTTCCAGCTCAAAGCCAAAGCATGTCCTCACAATCACTGTATTTCTAACATACTCACTGTTAATCAGCTCATATGGCGAAGGAATAAGATAAGGGATGGGATAAGACTGTTTGTTATCCTACACAATAACGTTTAAATTTATGAATGATTTACACCTGGGGTGGTGGGTTTGATGCAAATGAGCATAAAGGAAGTTGTCAGCAGCATTACCCTAGCCAATAGTAGTAGAGCTCCATTTTAGCTGTGCAATAGGCTGCATTAAAATACAGAGCAGACCAGCGCTTTTTCAGCATCCTTTCAGATAAGAGGTAGGTCTGTACCTTTTTTAAAAATTGTCTTATGTTTATATTGATTATTGAAAGAAAATATATCTTTGGTCTAGAAAAGAATTCTACAAAGCCTTTCTCCTATAAAAGACAGCACAAATTTTCTTTGTGTTTTAAGCAGGATTTTACTCTGCTTCAATCCTTAATCTGCTACTATCAGACAAGCATTTTTACCATCTGTGCATTAATGGAAAATTGATGACCACTCCATCTTACAAGAAACCCAACACACCCAGCCAATCCACAGTAAATAAAATGTATATGATGTTTGCTAGCTAGTAGCTAATTTCTTGCAGCCTTATTTAGTCAATTTTTTCTAAGCAGATGCTAATAGAAATATTTTTATTTAGAAAAAGCTAATTCTGGAACAAAGAAAAACAAAATATGTTAGAGTATTTATTTTTCAAATATAAACAATAAAATAATCACTAAATGGCTTAGAAATGACAGTGCATGGTGCCTAGCTAGGCTACAAATGTGTTCTAGAGAACTGGTTTGTTAGACTAGCACAAAAATCAACCTCATCACCTAACATATCACTAGAGTAAATATATGATAGTTAATCCATCTGCACAATGCAGACAAGTCAGAGTCCATGAGAGGTTTCTAGATACCATCACCCGAAGATGTTTGTCTAGTTGTTTTTTATTTGAGACTTCCTCAACACTGCATTAAAATGAGTCATTTTGCCTCTGCTCCTCTGAATACAATTCCAAGTAAGCTTACATTATTACCACAGCATCCACAGAATGACTTTTGAATAAAAAACCTAGAATAGAAATTATAGAACTCAATTCATTAAACACTTAACTGCTACTAAATTCTGTTCACACACAATACCTGCAATGCATACTAAATCAAAATGGCTCAACGTCAATTTTAAATATTCCTAAAAAAAAATGGAAACACAGTTTATCTGACAGTTTTCAAAGATGTGCCCTTTCTTACTCTTGTCAGTGCTGTAGTTAATTTTGATGGATCTGCAATGAAGCTTTTAGTCTGGTAGTTCATGATTACAAGTGTTTGAAAATGACTAAACAACTGCCTTGGCTTTAGTCATGTCTGGGGGATTATAGTCTCTATTAGACAGCCAGCACCTCTAGAATTCTATCAAAAATCAGCCCACAGCTGAGTAACTGGCCTCCTTCCCCAAATGTATTTATAACGTAGAGTTATATGAAATTCTCTCTTCAATGGATAAAATTAATTTTCCTAGCCACCATTTAAGAAGTACTGTCTTCAGAACATCAGTTCGTATATCATGTACCTGAATTGCTAGCTAACAAATATCAAAGAGGTTAACAAATATTGTCTTACAACTTACATTATTACATTAATTATAGCTAAGACCCGAGCTGCATCATGGGATGATCTTAAAATAATAGTGGCTGAGTTGTGGACAAGACATGGAAAACTGTGGGAAAGTAATAAAGGACTTGTATTAATTTCGGTAATTTAGAAAAACCACCGTAGACCTATTCGTTTAAGAAAAATTTGCTGGAACAATATAAACATTCAACTATTATGCTGTGCTTGTGATTTGGTTTTTCGGGGGGGGATCATCAGACACTTTGGTGCAAGTCCACGGCTGTAATCAGGGTGGACTGCATGGAGCAGCTGGCCAGGGCACAAAGCTGGGGAGGCACA